CCTAAACCCTAAAAAACCCTAAACCCTAAATAAACCCTAAAAACCCTAAACCGAACAACAACAACAACAACAACAACAACAACAACAACAACAACAACAACAACAACACCACGACGCAGCACGCCACACAACAACACGCAGCAACACCACACAACAACCAACACGCAGCAACACCACACAACAAAACGCACCAGCAACACGACGCAACAAAGCGCAACAACACCACGCAACACGACGCAACAACGCGACGCAACAACGCGATGCAGCGACACGATGATGCAACAACACGCAACAACACGACGCAACAACACGCGGCAACACCACACAGCCTGACGCAACAACCCGCAGCAACACCACACAACAACACACAGCAACGACGCAACAACACGCAGCAACAACCCGCAACAACACCACACAGCACACACAACAACACGCAGCACAACAACACGACGCAACACAGCAACACGACGTAACAGACAACAACACTACAACAGCCAACAACAACCAACCAACACGCAGCAACACCGCACAACAACCAACACGCAGCAACACCACACAACTCAACAAAACGCAGCAACAACACGCAACAACACCACGCAACACGACGCAACAACGCGACGCAACAACACCATGCAACACGCAACAACACGAGGCAACAACACGCAGCAGCACGACGCAACAACACGCGGCAACACCACACAACAACACACAGCAACACAACACGCAACAACACCACACAGCACACACAACAAAACGCAGCACAACAACACGACGCAACGCAGCAGCGCAACGTAACAAACGTAAGAACACGACGCGACACGAAACAACACGACGCAACCAACGCCACACAATAACACGACGCAACAAGAACACCCAGCAACACGACGCACCAACACGCAACAACACCCCACAACAACAAGCAGCATCACGACGCAACACTATGCAACAACACGCAGCAACACCACACAACAACGCCACGACGCAACACCACACACAACACGACGCAACACCACACAGAAACGCGACCAACAGCAACAACAACCACCTTATTATACCTCCGGGCCCAGTGGTGATTATCAAGGCAATTCTTGTAGGCCAGATACTTGCGAAGGGCGAACCAAGCTCACTCACCGTGAAGTCTCGCACAACCTCGCTGGTTCTGGGTCGTGTGTCCGGCCCGTTCGGGCGCTCTCGATCCTGGACGGGCCGTGGAAGTCATCCCAGAGGGCTCACCCAAGAAGGCTTGCCATGGGCTCCTTCCCCAAAGGGCGCTGCCAAGAAGGAGGTCCACACTAACCGTCCCCAGGTCGCTGGAAGGCACTCCAACACGGTCAACCGCGAGGCCCGGCCCCACCCATCTTCCAGGAACCCGGTATTGCCGGAGCACACAGGGCCAGCTGAATAGCTGCCTTTCGTGCCAGGTTCCCAGATGACAGATGGTTAACGACAAGTAACTTGGCTCACCACCTTCCGGCAATCATCCAGAAAACCCTTTATAATAACCACGTTTGCCCACGCACTCTCACACCTGACACCCACGCCGCGCTCTCGAACACCACGCTCTCACACCTCGCATACCGACGTCCACTGCCGCAGTAACAGTCTGTACCACCCCGATTGCATCTGTGCCCTGACCTTCAGGGCCGTGCGAGTGGTTGTGGGAAATGCACACAAATACATGGTCACCGGCGGCCAACGCATGCCAACTGTGGCATCTGAGTACATGAATGACATACTCGCACGAACTCTGATGGTTTGCGGAGACGTGAGTCAGAACTGTTCCGAACCGTGGGAATGCTTTGAAGTTCTCTGCTCAACCTCAGTCGCCCAAAACTGACAGCGTGTGCTAGAAACATTGCGTGTGCAAGGTGCAAGCTGTTTCCTGGACACCGGAGTCACTGCTTAACCGGGCGGTCACCCCGACACCAGAAATGTGGAGCTGTCCAGCATATGTGGAGCTGTGACCGGAACGATTGCAGGGCTTTTAACTGCTCTCACGCAAGTGGCAAGTCTTGACTTTGCAGTTGCTTTGTTTTGTTTGCAGCTGCTTTGCAGCTACTACGGGCTCAACAGCACATCTGTGGCAAGCCTCACCCTGAAGCTGCAAGAAGACCGTATGCCTTGCTGCCATACTCTGTTTTTTCGAAAACAATTACTTACCTACATAGTTTCCCAGAAGCAAGTGAATAGCGATGATTTATGTGATGTGCTATCATGATTTGGGCAAAGGGCGTGTCTTAGTTTTCCTGGCCGGTAAACAACGACATCGTTGGGAGGTGGGCTCACAGGCCATCGCCCCAATCATCATGATACCTGACAGGCGACGGATGTGGTTTGGTCTGCGGGGCATGCGCAGGCTGCTGACTGATGCAGAGGGTGCAGTATCTGTAAGTCCGTGAGAAATACATCGGCATCCACGACACAACAAAAACAACTTGGAACCTGCTAAAGATGCTAGCAGTTGCTAACAGTCAGCCTTAGCTCCTTTGCGAAGCGGCTGTCAGCAAGGGCATAGAATTCTCTCCTCGGTTGATTTGCGCCAACTGCAAGTACATTCCGCCCGAAGTTCGTCCGGCCTTTTGTCCACTTCACCGGCAGGTCCGAGCTCAGCCAGTTCAACCTGTCAGGACCATAAAAAGAGCACCGATGCGACAGAGCCTGCCGCAAGCACAAGCCTGGACGTAGGCCGCTATTGCTGCCATGTTTGCAGCTAGCCACCACAAAGACTGTGCCCCAGGCAGACTAGAGCCACCTGAGCCATGCCAAGGGCGCACGTAACCTCGTTAGAAGAGTCTGCAACTCACCAGGTTGGCTAAGTAACGTATCCCACCGTAGCACCATTGACCCCTGGCTGCTCTGATCTGAACAACAAGAAGTGCAGTACCACGATCCTGAAGCTCGGACACTCTTCTGCCTGACCAGGTCGGAACCTCAGCGACAAGGGCTGCAGGTCTGGGCCTGGGCTCATGGGCTAGGCCAGGCTGCTAGCTGTTGTTGTAGATCCTGGAGCACTGCATAGACCTCCTCGGGCGACCTGTACAGGCTATCTCATGCCCTCGTGAAGCACGCAGCCGGACATGTGGCCGGTACGAGATGTGCTAAGCATGTGCAACTGCAGATCTCGCGAACTAGACGCCTGATCGTAGGGTCCTTCCATCAAAGTAATTTGGTGGCCTAGCCTAGCTTAATCAGTCACAGCATGCGAGAGTTTGGATTGATGCTTGTGCGCCGCATCTGGTCAAACGTGGCGCACACAGCTGGGCAACTACTCTTCTAACAGTCCTCTGTCATCAGACCTGGCAGGGCGCAGATGCACGATCGAAGTACGAAAGCCAACGCGATCAAGCATGTGCCTGCAGCAACTTGACTGCGAGTTTCCTGTCGCCAGGCTGACTGACTACTTGCCTGCACTCTGAATGTCAACAATCTCAAGCGGCCCCGATTCCCAGCAGCGCATCTGATGTCAATGCCAATTAATCAGCGCGAGAAGCACTGTGAAGTCTGGACGCAAACGTTGATCTACCATGGCGACAATATGGTTACCTGGGCTTTCTACAGTTCTATTTGGATGTGCTGAAGATTTCAGTTTGTGCTTCGTGTCTGCTGCGCATTGCTGCGCACTCATCATGTCACGTGACGGGTGGCAAGAAGACTGGCACCTCCACCAAGCTTGTCCAGGCTTCGATGTGCTGAATCTCGTTCAATGCGCTGCTGGCCATCCTACCAAAGGCAAAACACTGCTGGAGACCAGTTAGCGCTGAGTTAGGGGGAGCATGCGCAGATGCGCGAAGTGCAGAATGCTTGAGTCGCTAACTTTGCAATGATGTCTTGGATCCGTCGAAGTCGGCACTGCACCTGGACTTCTATCATGGCATTCGGCTTCAGGAAAGATGTCTTGTTTTTTTTTGGGCGACCCTGTAGCTTGAGGAAAGTTGTGGAAAGCAATGCCACAACCACCGCGCCGAGGGCTTGGCTGCACTCATTTGTCGTGCAGAAGTCGTGATGCTTGCAGCCTGAGTGCATCTGACAAACAGGCGTACCTTCGCCAAAACGTGGTCAGTTTTACAGGGCAGCACGTGGAACTATAGCTTTGCCATTGTCAATACAATCATTGGGGTTGCCAATGGGTGCTGTAGCTCTGGGCCATGTAAGAAGGCCAACGAGAAAACCGAGAATTGAGTCTAACTACGCAACGAACTTTTTGAGCTTTGACCGAACTTGTCTTGCTGCTGTCCAAGATCCAAGCGGAATTTCGTATGGAAGCACTCAAAGCTAACAAACTCGGAATGCACGACATTGCCGAGGCAGGCAAGGAAATGAAAGTATGACAGAGCCCAAGAATTAGGAACGGAATGCCAGCTGCCCTTCAGCATCTCCACTACATGGCACAATTTGGGGGTTCTTGAGTTGTGAGATTTGAAGAAACTAATGAGGAGGTGGTTAATTGCTACAGTGCTTGTGCGCGTCCGACGCCGGCAGTGCCGGCTGGCGTCACATGAACGCACAGTTTAGCGACTCGACTTCGGCACGTGCTGCTGTTCAGAAGCTGAAGAAGTCCAAATTTTCAGAGAAAGCTGAAAGTTGAGGAAAAGGTGGCAGTATATCTTCAGCGCTCACTTTCACGCCACATCATCCTACGTCCATTCCAGTCATGTCGTTAGACTCAGAATCGGGCCGCGCGCAGTACAGAAAGTTTCTGGCGAAGATCGCTAACCTCCTGCAGCGCAACGTGCGATTCCCGAGCTTCCGCGCAGCAACCAACATGCAAGGCCCGCCTGCATCCGCTCCCCGCGCTGCCGCTGCAACTCTGCTACCTGGACGGGTTCGAAGTTTCGGGCGACAGTGGGCTTCCTACACAATTTCGATTATTGAGTTACTTTTTCCTCAAAGTTCCCATGGTGGACAGATTGTCTCTGGTAGACACACCCTTAGGCTCAGGCCGACCGGAGCATAGAGTCAATTCGAGCTTGGGATCGCCGGGTTTCCTGCACGTGCAGTTAGCAGGTTGCACACACTGGGCCCCAATACTGACAAACGAACCGTTTTTAAGAACTAGTGGTTTTTGATGTCACGAACAGAAGGGGGGCATGCGTGTGGAAGCAAGACAAACTTGCTTTTGGCACGTGCGCGTTTAAGTGTTTTAGCTTGACATTGACAGTACACTTGCACTGCTCTCAGAAGACCTTCCCACAGCTCGCACATGTCCACAGTTCGGTAGTGTGGATCCCCCCCTCGCAAACTCGTCCCTTTAAAAACCATGTGGATTCCTTGTAAGTTCATGTAAGCTCATCCTCTAAAAACCCACATGGATCCTTTTTGAATTCATATAATCATATACATTAATAATGTTTACCATCATATGGATCCCGTTTTAATTCAGATAAACGCATTACTTTGAAATCATATGGATCCCTTCCATATTCAAATAAACTCATCCCGTTTAACATCATATGGATCCTTCTTTAAATTCTATAAACTCCTCCCTTCAATCATATAAAGCCAGACCCCCCGCCACCCCCAAAATTGGCCCCCTCCCCCCCCCCCCCCCCCCCCCCCCGTGGGTGGCTTAAATAGGGTTTATTTGGAAGCTGGCACTCGGGTTTTGTCATTGCCAAACCCATTCCAACGAGGGTCCGAGGCTGTCACGTGGGAGCTGGGAGTCTATGTCTTTTCGGGGTTCTTACTTAGATAGGAAGAAAACTTGAACCCAATCAATATCTTAGGGACCAGGGCTTACGATTTGGCTCTTTGGAAGAAAACTACTTGAACCCACAATCTTCGCCACCCGCACTGCGTGCACATCCAGCGCCCGCATCCGCAGGGTCAAGTCGAGGTTACCGGAGGAAAGACGCGCAATCATTGGCGCGTGGTGGACTGAGCAGTCCCCTTCCGTAGAAGGTCTGTGTCATTATCTTCCCCTGCCCTGCCAATGGATCAAACACACAACCACTGACACACATACATCTGTCAGCACAGTCTCCATGTGGGCCGGGCAGGGGTGTCTCTCGCAGTAGCTATCTACAGTAACGGTTCAATCCGGGACCCAAGAGAACACTCAAACCACCCCACATGGATCCAAACGATGTAACACACCTTACCCTGAAATGCTGTGTTCAAATATGGCCTGGAGCTGGCCCTAGGAGCAGGGATTGCGATTTGGCTCTTTGGAGGAAAACTTGAACCCAAAATCTTAGGGACCAGGGCTTGCGATTTGGCCCTTTGGAAGAAAACTTTTGAACCCAAAAATCCACCCACCAGGGCTTGCGATTTGTCTCTTTGGAAGAAAACTTGGACCCAAAATCTTAGGGATCAAGGCTTGCGATTTGACTCTTTGGAGGAAAACTTGAATCCAAGATCTTGGGGACCAGGGCCTGCGATTTCTCTCTTTGGAGGAAAACTTAACGTTCCCATGAGTGCACGCTGCTGTCACGTAAGTCGTGCTATGGTGGCCTCTTCTTACCTTGTTCTTGCCCCTCCCTCTTCTCCCCCCCCTGACCCTGTCTCTCCTTCTTTCTATCTCCTCATTTTTCCTTTAAAGTGGTACGAGAAGGCGGAATGACATGAAGGCAGCGTACCCCCCTGGAGGCACACAAAAAAAACGAGCATCAGCTTCCACCCCTTCCAGTTCTACGAGACATACCACTCAGAAAAGAAAGAAAAAATAGAGCGAGAGAGAGAGAGAGAGAGTGCAGCGTGGGGTTGGGCGTGGGGAAAACCCTTGCCCTCAAGCACGCTGAAAAAGAAAAAAAAGAGAGCGCGAGAGGGGGGTGGAGAAGAGAGACGAGTGAGGAGCGAGAAGGTGTAAACTCCCTTCTCTCCTATGTTCTTGTCTAAACACAGAACGAGATAAAGGGAAAACCAAGAGGAGCTCTCTCTCCCACGGTCTACGCTTCTCTCCATGCCCTGCGTTATCTCATTCCCTCTCTCCTTCTGCAAATCTCTTGGAAGCTGATGCTCGTTTTTTTTGTGCGGGCAGGTGCCTCCAGGGCAGGACGCTGCCTTCATCTCATTCCGCCTTCCCGTACCACTTTAAAAGAAAAATGAGGAGATACAGAGAAAAAGAGACAGGGTCAGGGGGGAGAGAAGAGGGAGGGGCAAGAACAAGGTAGGAAGAACATGTAAATTCATCTTCTCTCTTCTCTTTTCCTCTTTCTTTTCCACAAGAAAGAAAACGAATATGGACTTGAGAAAGGGGAAGCTAAGAGTCAAGAGACCCTTTCTCTCCCACGGTCTATGCTTCTCTCTCTATGCCTCGCCTTGTCTCACTCCCTCTCTGCTTCAGCAAATCTCTTTGTAGCTCACCCTCCTCCTCGTCTTCCAATTCTACAAGGCATGCCGCCCATGAAAGAAAAAAGAACAACAGAGAGAGAGAGAGAGAGAGAACGAGCGAGCGAACCGGAAGAAAAGAACAAGGTAGGAAGACATGTAAACGCCTCTTTAACAAGAAAAACTGATTGGGAGCATAAGCTTGTCCAATCTTTTTGGAGGGCTGTGTCTGTTGGGAGCACATCTTGCAAAAATCTTAGGCGAACGGTGCTTGCGATGTGTGTTTTGGGAGCATCCCCTTTTCCAAAATCTTGGGGACGGGGCTTGCGATTTGTCTTTTGTGAGCACAGAAAATCTTAGGTCTTCGGCCTGCTTTCTTTCAAGGTTCCAAAAAATGGAGGTCTCCGGTGTGGATGTCCTTGAAAAGTAGGTCTTGATACAGAAAAAGAAACACAGGACACCCTAATTTTGGATACTGAGAAAAAGGAGACTATGTGAACTTCAATGTGAACGCACACACACACACACCCACACGCAACCCCACACGCACACGCACACGCACCAGTCCCCAGAGAGAGGCGCCGTGCTTGCAACTAACTCGTAATTGTCGCTGCAGCACTTGCCCAGGCCAAGAGCGCCGCTAACACGGGGCCTCCTTAGTATAGTTATAGTAGCTACAGCAAACTTGCTTGGCATGTATCAGGTTAAGTGGTTTTACAAGTCCACTGTTAAGCACGATACCTTCTTGGCTTCTTTCCCAAAAACTGGAAAAAACAAAAACGAGTCTTAAGTTTGGCCTTCCTGAACAGTTCTTTGTGTTACACTCTCAGCCTGTGCAAGCACGCAGCACCTTGCCCACTCCACCCCATCAAAGCCCCCTGCAACTCGGTAATGCACATGTCGACCTACGGTGGCTGTGGCTGCCTCCTCGCACACATCGACTTCATCTGAAAGGCATGCCGCTGCCTCAGCGCGCATGTCGTAGATAATAGTTCTCGTGGTTAGGATGGGGCTGACATTGCCTGATTCCAGCTGTACCCTGCAGTGTTCCCCACGGTGCGTTCAATGGCCAAAACATAACTGACCATCGGAGCAGCACGGGTGCAACAAATCTATGCACTGTCCTAAGAGACACAAACAGGGCGCTTGTCCGTCGAAATCGACCTAGACGCTCATCAAATGAAAAGACCCCCAAAGCTGGTTCGGAGTGCTGAAAGAATTCCCTGTCCAACAGACTCAACGACCGATGGGCAAATTCTATGAACCAACTAAACCAGAGCATTCCGTCCCGTCCAGAATGTTCTGGACAAGGTTACCAGTGCCAGAGTTTAAGATAAGTCTTGGGTCTTCTCAAGGCTTACCAAATGGGGTGGGCGCCCTCCGCCCTGGAACAAAGTGAATCAGTCTTCACGCAAGCGAGTGCGAAATGAGCGAGTGAGAGCCGCGAGTGAATGAGAGAATGATGTGCGCAAAAGCCAGCAACCGAAAACCCATTTGGGGCGCGGGCAGCGGGTGGGGGCTCTTGGAAGGTCCCTGTGGTGACAAAAGGGCAAAAATGAAAGGTTTCGTCGTATTCAAGCTATCCCCGTGTCCGGACATCGAGGTGAGGGGTGGGGGGCGGCAGAAGCATCCATTGAAGGAGCTTTGAAGCTTCCTTAAAGCTTCCTAGGCCCAAGCAATCCTTCCTAAAATGTCAGGATGTCCGTCGCCGCCTGTATCGGCTTGCAGAACCGCAACGTTCGAACTTCCAAAGTTGTGAGAGGCTTGGGCACCAGCGGCTGGAGGAGGCAAGTTCTCCTTCGGAGCTTTGAGCTGCTTGCGCTTGCACAAAAAAAATTTCCATGCAAGTGCTGGATCGGCCTTGACCTCGTGCAAGTGGGAACCTCTCAAAGCTACTGAAAGACTTCTGGTAGCTCATGGGCATAGACAGACTTGCACAGCTTCAAGGTGCAGGGCCTGCCTCGCGCGGGTATTGTGTCTGGACGTGCCTGATCTTGCGGTGCGCCCTCGAGCTGGGAGCGCACGTCCTGTTGCAACATAAGTGTAACTTATGTGTGCAAGAAAATTTGACAGCATCGTGCTTGCCATGCTTGCCTTGGAATGCTGCTCCCAGTACTCCAACAGCCCGAAGGAACTTGTCGCATTTCCGCCTCGTCGGGCTGCGCAGTCAACATCTTCGTCGTTGTTCCTCTATGTACTTGCTTTTCTGCATCCGTGTCCTGGCCTTGGGCTGTGGACTTCGCCTTCTGCAAGAAGAGGTGCAGCCTTAGGAATTTTGGCAGCAGCCTGCCGCAGAGCAAAAGCGCCGACCCCACCTTGACGTTACTACCTCCATAGTCTTGTTTCTCGCTGCGGCAAGGCGAACCTGCAGGATTGTGCAGCTACAGTGCTTCCATCGAGATCATCCTTTGTGTAGAATTAGTCTCGCATGTGCCCTGCTGATTTGAGCGGCCTTTTGGAACAAAGACATGACAGCCGATTCTGCATCGGCTAGCTCCATTGCTGCACCTCATCATCACCAGTCCCGACACACGTCCATTCCCCATTGCTCAACGACTCATGCGACAAGTGAAAAAGCTTTCGACGTTCGGCATCGCGTCGTGACAGATCAGTGTTGACCTGATCACTGCTAGGCGTGAGAGGTCTGAAGGCTCGAGCTCTCCGCTATTACGTCGTGCACCTTTTGTGCTGCAAGGGCAGGAATGGCAGGAAGCAAACATATTTTGTTCCAAGTCCAGCCATCAGCCTTTACCGAGCAGCTGTGAGCAACCCCAAAAAAATATTAAGAGCACAGTGGTGCAATGCTCTTCTGAGAATGGTCCCCTCCCTCCGATCAAGTCAGAACGAAACTCAACACTTTTTGGAACAAGCAGTGCTGTCCCAGCAGTCTCTCTTACGGGCGCTCGGCCCTACGGACAATGATCCATGATAGAATTTGCAACGTGGAGACACATCAGGAGATGCCCTGATCATTGTTGAGCAACCTCCACTGAGAGTGGATGGAGGTTTGCTCTGTCACAGGACTTACTTACAAGCCGTCACTGCGGGAATTTCTTGCCTTTCTTGTCTTTCTTGCGTTTCTTGTCCATGCCCATGCCATCCCCTGCCACTCCTGGACAGCTTCGCAACTTCTCTTCTTGTTCGCTGGGGCCTGTCCTTTGTATCTCGCATCGTCGGCTGATGCGAAAGTACGCTGGGCCAAAATGGCATTCGATTCACATGGCACCATTGACCGTAAAATGCAAGCGATTTCGAGATGACACTTGGCGATGTAACTCTCGGACTCTCGCGGGTGCCCAATCACACCCTGCAACTCACAGAGCAGCTTCCCAACCAGCCTCAGCTGCCTTCGAGGAAGCCTTGGCCCACGGACACCTGCCCTATATGGACACATCGGACAACGAGCTAGACCGATAGGCTCGAACGGTACCGAGATGTACCCAGCCAATGCCAAAGGGCGCCGGGTTCAACCGGGTTCAAGTGCTCGTCGAGCTGCGGTGCGGCTGACTGCCTCGACGCAGAGATGCCTTGCCAACGGTGTGACCTGAACAGGACGCGGTTTGGATGCATTGTGCGGTGCGTATCATGCTGGGGCCGTGTGCTTCAATCTGCTTGTAGAGCTAGCATATTTGCAAGATTCTGCCAGGTATTGCAAGGCCGAGAGAGGACCAGGCCGTCAAAGGCTGCAACATGTAGGGTCCGACAGCGCTGCCTGCGAGAAGTTGCAAATGACTATTTCCTGCCAAAACTCGAAGTGCTATGATCGCCATTTTGTTCTCCATCTGAGCTTCGGGCTGTCAGGCACAGCAGCAGTCATGAAGCACTCATGCCTTGATTGGGAAAAACTTCTGTCAGGCGCCCCAAACCACCACCGCCCTACCAGTGTGACCCAACCGTCAAACATCCTCAGACCCAAGACACAACGATAAACCCCACAGGTCCAGAGGTCCCAAATCCAACCGCCACATTCCGACACAAGTGGCCATTCAGCAACCATTTTAGCCCACAAGGTCCTACTATGTCCCACCTGGCAGGAACAAAGCCCGTGCAAACAGAGCAAGATAGTCAATCCACCCATTGTGAAAACATGATCCTAATCTTCCACCCGCAAATGCTTTTGTTGGATGGAGTCCGAAGCGAGCAACACCAAAAGTTGTTGTGCTTAACTTGTGCTTACGATTGCACGATCGTCTCGGATACACGTGTCCTGTTCACAGTGAACATCTGCTGCAATCAGACATGGCTTAAGCGAAATGCATTCTGAGGAGGGAAATTCCTAAGGAAAGACAGCAACGAGATCATTACTTGGGAGAGGAAAAGCCACGCAGGACAACAGGGGTGGTCGCAGCACCGACAGGAATGCTCTCGCCAACCACATGTCGAGCCCGTCCCCCGCCCCCCTAATACAGTAGCCCACAAATGCAAACTTCAATCAGGGGCCGACAAACCCAGACTATACAACCTCTGTAATGAAAGCTTTGGAACTTCTTACCCTGTAGCTTCGGAGCCCCTCCCTCCCCGTGGGTTTAGATAGGGTTTATTTGGAAGCTGGTGGCGGCTTTCCATCTAGGAAAACGGTGAGACCGCTTTCACCTCAATCCGTTTTCTCAGAGAGCAAAAGAAAGGAAGGAGAGAAAGCTAGAGAGGCGGGGGGGGGGGGGAAGAAAAGTGCCAACTAAGCAATCCTAAATACAAGAGGTCTCTTGGATTGTTGAAACACACCCTTCCCCAAATGGCAAATCGCAAGCACCGTGCTTTTTGATTTTTGGAACAACTCCCGTGCCCAAAACCGAATCGCCAGCACCATGTCCCTTTGAATCTTGGATCAAAACAACAAAGAAGAGCCTAGCATCTTTCCTTTTTGCTCTTTTCTTTCTCCTCGTTTGGCAATAGGCCCTCTTCCCCCACTGCTTCCGCCTTCGTCTTCTTCATTGCTTCTGTCTCCTTCACTCTGTTTCTCTATGTGTCGCTCTTCCACTGTCTTTCTCCTTCCTCTTCTATGACTATCTCCTTCTCTTTTCCCCTCTGACTCTCACGCTTCTTCTGTTCGCTGATTTCATATTCCAAACACCCTTACGCAAACGATGAGTCCTGTTCGTTACTGATTGCTCTCCACGGACTTTTTAGAAAGCCCTTTCTCGACTTGTCATGCTTGCCCTTCTTCGACTTCCCTGCTGAACGGGCCACGGAATGGGCACGAGAAAAGGGAGTGAAGAAAGGAGGGGAACGAAGAGGGGAAAGGGAATGAAGGAGAGGGAGAGCTAGACGGGGAACAGGCGCGAATGGCGAGGTGGCGACAAGAAGAGAGGTGAAGGTCACATGAAATGCCACTCTTTTTCGGATCTCGGATGTGGGACTTCGGAATTCTTTTACCTCATCTCTACAATTTGGTAGGACTGAAGAGATCCCCTCTATGTCTCTGCATTACATGTTAGAGCACCTTCGCTGTTTCTCAAGACATGACGACGACTTCTTCTAGCTGCTTACAAAGGCAGCAGGAAGCAACGCTCTGATCTGTTTCCCAATTGAAAAAGGAGTATGACAAGCCCCCTCTAATCCTTACTTAGTAAGAATGAAAACTGACCCTGATTTTCTTCATAAAAGGCAAGAAGCCAAAAGCCTTTTTACTTGAAGAAACTGATGATAAGGAACCAGAGGATCTCTCTACCTCAATTCAAGAATGAAGTGAGCCCCGATACGTCTTTTGTGAATGAAACAGCTCCTGTACCCCTTATTTTAAAGGAATGAGACCCTCTTTTTCCTATTTGAAAAAGCTTTTCTCAGATCCAATTTATTTCACCATGGTTTGGTTGTTAGCAGCTGTATGGATGTCACACATTGGAGTTGTAACTCTTCAAAACAGAGACCCCCTCACAGTTTTTTGCGCCATGTTTTGTTGTTGCCAGATGTGTCTTGAACAAAGGGGTAACCAACAAGGGAGGCCCCAGATCCACATCATTAATTCGGGGTGGGGGGATGGGGGCCCAGAAGCCCCCAACCCTTAGGATTTAAATTGTTAAAGTCGGGGGATTAATTCCACTAATTAAATGAGTTAAATGCTCTAAATAGTCTTCTTCCTGGAGGCGGAGCCCCCATCCCCCAACCCCGTTTCACTACTTTGAACAGTTTATGTGAATATTAAAATTTGCTATTACATTCGGGTGGTAGAACTAAATCTCGGCCTCCCCCGAACTTTAGAAGGTTCAAATTATTGATTGTCCCCCCCCCCCCTGAATTACATAATTTAATCATTAATGTTTGAATCCCTCCAAGGGAGTGGGGGTTGTCTGCGAATGATCATTTTGAATTTTGTGCTGGGGGAGGCCCTTTTGGACTATGTCATTCTGGTTGCGAACCTCTGCCGGGAGCGTTTTGTTTAGAAGAGTCCTCTTGCATTTACATGGAGGTCCTCTTGCAACTACGAGTATCAGATTCAAGCTTGAAGCCGCACACCCCCCCTCCCCTCCCGCGGCCATCAGATTTCAAAGGGCTGCCCGTTTTAAGCCAAGAGGCCACCTTAGAAATCCAAAGCTCCTCGGCCGTAAGATTTCAGGAGCCTGGTTCATGGTTGTGTCGAGTCAAGACATTGGTTTAGCGTGTGCTGGCATCAGGAAGTGATCAGGATTCGATGGGAAGTGAAACTAATTCAGTGATTCATGGAGGGTTCGTGATACTTAAGTAGCTCATGTTGCCTCTCGCCGGTGTGTGTTACAAGTAGTAGCGCGAGCGTCGAGAGGCAGGAGAGCCAAACAAACGCCGCATGTGATTTTACCATTCAGATACCATTCAGCGTGCAAGTGGAGGATTTATCATCGAATTCGCTGCATAAAACAACTGGAGTTTGTTTCGGTTTCTTGTGCAGTAGCATCAAGAAGATGTATAGGGACGCTTGCATGGACTTGCGTGCCGTGGGCAGAGACGAAAGTCTGTCTACGAGGAGAAGCAAATCCGCATGCAAGTAAACAGGCGAAGTGAACATGTCGATGCAGGGCAGCACAGGAGAGAATGTAGGAACGGTGTGATAATCCCCTTCACGCCAGAAGCGAGCATCCGCGACATTTAGGGCTGCCAAGAAGGGCATGACGGTGCCGGAGCCGGCGAGCGCATCAGCCCGGCCCTGTCCAACATAACAAGGGCCATAAAAGCATCATAAAAGCACCCGGCGTCCAACAGCCGTGCAAAAGCAAAGCCTCAAAAAGGGTCCGCGGATGCCATGGTGGGCAGTCGCCCCGGCGCCGACTGTAGGCGGGGACTCTCAGCCGGAACAAAATTTGCCCACCCCCCCGCCAAACTCCCAAGGAGTCGCCGCGGCCCTTGCGTGATATTGAACGACACTCCCTCAGGGGGAGCTTTCGTAATAAACCGAGAACCTGACCCAGCATCCCAATGTGCGCCTTAATTATTTCGGAGCACAGGACCTATCTAGCCAAAGATTGTGCTCGAAACTGAGTACCTTTTCAAGAGTAGGAGCCCAGGATCGGGTTGGACCAACCAGGGTAAGATGAGGAAAAAGCGCAGCCCAATTTCAATATCTGCTCTGAGAAGTGACTTGAAAAGGGGTGACACAAAGTCCCTCGATAATATCCTGCCTTCGATATCAGTATGTTCCAGGTGTGCCCCAGAGAGTGGAATGCCAGCCTGGCAAAGTGGCAAAGCCAGAACCTGCTGGATCAGCAGCTTTGCTCCAGCCCTCGCATGATGGGGCTGGGGGAGTCCGATGCTGTGCCATGATATGAAGAACACGAGGAAGTCCGCACCCAGCCGCGCGCCAAATTTGATCTGAATGGGAGATGATGCAAAAGCGGCGAAAACATGCGAAACCCCTCAAACCTTTCAGAGAGGATTTGGATTGCAGGCGTTTCGCCGAAATTGCAAAATCCTGACAATCCTCAAGTCCAACGGTGCGACAAGGTTTCTACTGCTGCAGCCTTGTGCAATCTGGGTCGGACGCAGGCTTTTGCAAAAGATGCTCTTTTGCATGTCCACCTTCAGTTCAAGTTCTCTTGTTCGCGACAGCACGTCGTTGCAAACCAAGAGAGCATCAAGGGCTTCACCCTTGCTGTCCATCCACGCAACGCCGCGCTCCTCGATGAGATGCCATCCTGCCAATTTTGTCAAGCCACGGCGCTTTTGATGCAGCCCATCAGCATTTCCGGAGGCGTCGTGCAATCTCTAAACTCTGCGATCCTACAAGGCTAGAACTCCTTTGCAGGAAGACCCTGTCCTCAACGAGGCAGCAGCTTGTGGACATATCTTGTTCCTTGACGCCATCAACCTGCCGCCCAGGAGTCAAGGCACAATAGTGACTTTGCTTCTTCAGGGAAAGTCGGACAGGTACAGGAGACGCACGGAAACACAAGACTGAGAAGGTGAGAAAACTAGCGAGAAGCTCACTGTCAGAATGCTGGTTCATGCTGTGCCTATCGTTTGCACATTTGTCGTGCTTCTGCCCAACTTTGCTTAATCTTCAGGTAGCTAGCTGGCAGCCCACAAGCTCGCACATGCCAGAAGGAAAGGGTCCAGCATGCCCAGCACCCTGCACTTAAGCTTTACGAGGCTCTTCTGCGGGATTCTGAGTGTGCTTCACGCGAACATTAAGAGCTTCGACCGGCATTCCCGCATCCCGCATGCCTCCCTGCACACGGCGCAGCGAGTGCCAGCCTTTGTTCCAAGCAAGTCCGTGGTCCACAGCCGAATCTCAAGCGCCGTGATTGGCTCGCAGGTCCTGATCAAGCAGGTATATCCAGCCACTTGGCTTCGAGATTCGCGCCCGAACCTCAGAAGGGTCGCTTTCGGAATGCATGCACGCATGACCGCACAACGACACCACACTCTGACGCGAAACTGTTCACTTGGTGGCTCACGGCTCCATCTGGTAAGCGTACTGACTCTTCAACATTGACAGGCCTTGGCCAATGTCTGCAGGTTTGCTGTCTGATTTCACAGTAACAGCTTGCAACATTGCAGGACTCCTCATCACTAAACTTTTGCTACCAGAGGCTAGCATGATCTGGCATTGCTTGGCATTGACAAGCGCAAGGGTTCCGATTTTCTTCGACAGCAAGCAGCTATAAGCAGATCAACGAGCGCGCTTCAGCAAGGAACTCCAACGCGAGATTTGACCTGCAAGTCCCTGCCCTGCTTCCACAAAGTTCTTGGTCACTTCCTCCACAGCGCTTTGTCCTGCTTCCAGGATCTCGTCTTTGGTTGCTGTCCATGTAACGGTTGTCTTCTCACGCTTATGCAGGCACTTTGTAGTGAGCATGTCGAAGAGGTTCGACGGAATCTCTTTTGCAACTTCTTGGTAGATCACCATTTCCAGGGCGCGTCTTCCTGCTTCCACACTGGCCTCGGCTAACAATGAGGAAAAACTGGACAGCAAAGCCATGGCAGCTCCTCCAGTTGCAAAGCCGGTCCAGGCCAGTACGAGAGAGTAGCTTGCCTTGCCGAGGTCCGCGACAGTGTCCACAAAAGTAGAAGAACCCACAACATCCTGCAGCATTGATAGCATCACAGCCGGCGTGAACATCTGCTTGGTGTAGTTCCTGAACCTCGAGAGGTCTTCTTGTTTTGCCAGCATTGAGCATACAAGCAGACTTTGGAGTACGGTATAGTCGGTACAATTAAGACATGTTAAGACTTTTAAGACTGAGCAGCTATAAGATGCTATAAGATGCTATACGATGGCAGGGCTTCTGAAACGTGCAAACATGGAGGAAGGATATGGAAGCACCTAAGGATCGGATCACCCTGGAGTGCTTCGCGTGCTTCGCTGAGGCCTCGGCTCGCTCAAGGCTCCCGATACTTTGGAAAAGGCGCCCACCGAAGACTCCGTGGGGTTTCCGTACATGTACCAGGAAGCCTTTTCACACATTCGGTTGCGGACGGCCAGCGCAAACTTGGAAATGAACAAAGCTGCCCGAGGGTGTTCCAAGATCCACTTCATTAAGGACACTCCCCATTTGAGCAACGGCATGGCTATAAAGTTCCAAAGCGGACGCAAGCCATAGTTGAAGACAGCTCCAGGAATGGCTGCCACGAAGTTCCAAGTCTTTTTTAGCGCGGTGGTGTTCTTGGGGTCCACCTGAAGGAAGGCCCCTTTTTCTGGAGACCATCGGGCGACCTCCGTACCCCGGCGTCCAGAGGGGGTTCTTTGATCACCATCCTCATGCACTTGGAGAAAGGATGTTCCATCTGAGGAAATTTCGAGTTCTGGAGCTGCTTCGGAATCGATGGTCTCTTTGAAGTCGATGAGGATCTTTTTGAACTCCTGTAAGGCCACCTTCACTAGCTGGCCAAGCCAGCTCAACATTTCTTCATCGGCAATATGATGCGCAAGCATCTTCTTAAGGGCCATAGAGCCCGTTTCCAATGATGCTTGCATGCTCTGATGTGCTTTCGAATCTTTCACGTCTGAAATGGAAACTTCACGAATGCCAGCCGAGTCCATCAAGCTCTTCATCCATGAGTCCTTACGTTGATCAACGGTGTATGGCGTTCCACAGCAAAATGCAGCCGGAGCCTGCCAAGCCACGAGGTCAAACGGTAGCTGAGCAAACCAAGGCGGGGCAAACGGTTGAAAATCGCCCAATATTCCACAACCGACTTGAACCAAACAGGTCTCAAAAGCCTCATGTGGCTCATCACATTCGCCAGATGCCAATGCTTCTTTCAAGTTGGGAGGCTTCAAAACCCGACCCAGCTTCTGTCCAAAAGCATCACAAACAAGAAGCAACTGGTCATGTATGGTTTGGACGCCCTCCATGTGGGTTGTCTCAAGACTCAGATTGACCCGGCGTGCATTTGAAGTTGTTGTGGTGACCGATCCAACGGCATGTACAAGTCTGCTCGCACGCCTTGCTGTCAGGGCGCGCCTGTCCTTCGAAGTAAAGTGAAAGATCTTCAAGGTCTCAACATCAAAAAAGAAAGGCATCGACAATGGGTGGGCAAAATCGAAGTACAATGTAGTCTCGGCAGTTCCGGCAGTTCCGCCAGCACTCGTGTCCGTGCGCACGCGGAAGTCACCAGCACCGAAAGAGCAGGACGGATCCAGAGAGCACGGCAATTGCTTGCAAGAGCTAGCCAACTCTGCAGGGTGATCATCATCAAGCTCACTGGTCTTGAAGTGTTCACCTTTCGTCAGAGCACAGAGTCCGGGTTCCGCTGCCAGAACGCAGCAGCCGTTCAGAAGAAACGAACTTTGCATACGGGCTGAGCATGCTTGCTGGCAGTCGGCTGGATTGAGCGAGATGCCCTGTAGAAGAACTTCAGCATCCTGTGCGCTGTACACGTCGCAACTCGTCTCTGGTTGCATGTCGTTACACACCACTTTGCGAGCCCGAATTTTTCTGACTAGAGTCCAGGACGTCCGGGACTCCTCGTGTCCCACGTGCTCCAAGTGCTCAGGCAGAATCCACTCGGCTCCGTGCTCGAACTGCACAAGGACGTGTGTGCCGGGAGAGTCTAGGCTCCATTTCTCAAGAACACTTCCTATCTGGCTCTCACGGCTGTCCGTGGAGTCTGTGGAGCCCATGGCTTCACCATCTCCTTTGCCGTCGAGAGGCGTACCGCGAAAACCCCGGGCGATTAGGGACAGCTTGACGCTGTCCCCAACATTGAAGGTTGTGCTTAATGCATCAGAAGTAAGACTGCAAACAAATTTGTCCAGGACATGGTATGTCTTTTCTTCTGGGTGCACCGCCACCGCAGAACACTGCATGTCATCTTCGCAGGCACCCAAAGCTTCACTAAGAGTATGCACTTGTACGGGCAACTCTCGTGCTGCCCTACTGTGTAACAAGTCAGGACCATGATGGTCAAAAGGGTCACCGCAGGTAAATGCTGCATATTCGTACTGAGTCTTTTGGGTTCCCCACTGCATCTTTTGCTGCATCCTCTGCCCAGGTGGCTTCGGATCATGCGACCAAATGGTAGAGAATGGGAGATGTTCACGGCAGGAGTACTGAGTCACCTGAAGGCTTGCATCACCACTTGGGCCAGTGTGCATGCAGCGTACCTCGATCGAGCCGTCCAGATATCCTACAGGTTCGAGATAGTAAGAATCCCAAATCTCTTCCCCATAATCTGAATCGAATATTGGAGGGCCAAAGACAAGTTCGTTGCATGGGCCACTGTGGGAGCCCAAGGGGTTCAGACCGAACGGCAACACAAAGTGCTGCTCTTCATCAACTTCGGAATACGGATTCACAACATGATGGTCGGACCAGCTTTTGTTCAACTTCAAGTGCATCCCTTTTCGGCATGCAAATGTTGGTTCAGCAAAGCTCTGGATGATCTGGTGCATGCGACTCTGGATTCGACCACTCCAAGCGAAGGGAAGACATATGCATAGAATATGGAAGCGCGGCATGTTGCAAGGACTGACAGACTACAACCAGCTAGACAGATGAACTGTTGAGCCACTAGCACGTTGCGGAATGCGTGTGGAGTGGCATGGAATTGTCGTATAACATTCACTGCCAACACCGCGTCGAGATGTGCTGCCAGGTGCCATGTCTCTGCCATGTTTGACGTCCTGAGCCATCGGCGTGCCGGGTGGAAGCAAGTCCTGAGATGTGTCGCAAACGAAGCCATGTTAGGAGGAGATAGTCAGGCAGATCAAACATGCTGGTTGCAAGTCAGGTTCAATGGCTTCCGTTGCATCCGGGTTGAGCCTTACTTATACCACAGGCACATTAAGAAACAACAAACTGCCCCTCTATTCCCCTCTCACATGATCCGCTGCTTGAAGAGTGCCGTGCAGATCTGCTCGAGGTGAGACAAGACTTATCACCAGCACCTCGTATGTGCCGCCGGATTCCTCAGATAAACATTGGCACAATCATGGAGCTGAGCGACAACGAAATCCGAAGTTTCGGACCAAGGTCGAAACAGCAGCTCCTTTTGCCCAGTTCGCTTCCAACGCCAGAGGTGTCGAAACTGCGGCCAGAAACGCGTCTGCTTGTGCGCAAGAAAGCCCAAAGCCATGCAGTTCTTGATGCATGCACATGCCTTGCGGCGTCCGTTCCAGACGTGAAAATCTAGACATCTGTCTCGATTTGGCATCATGCCGTGGAAGGCAGGAGCCGATAGCAAGACCCTGAGAATGCTCGATGCAAAGCTGAGCAACGGAGAAGCTCCGAGCCTTGCCGGAGGGCACCTGCTTCTCTGCCTCTTCAAAAGCGAGGTTTGCAAAGGACGAGGGCACAAGCGGCCAAGCTTGCACTCCGAGAGCAACCAGGGACCGGGCCGTGTAGGCGAGCCTTAACACCACTGCTATGGATTGTTCCGAAAATGTTCCGAAAATGCTGACACTGCAACTGCGCTCAAGCGACCCATACTCTGCCCATGAACATGCCAAGGTCCTCCGATGTGTATCTCGACCCAACTTGAACTTGGAGACTCTACTGGCGGCTTGGGCATGCGAACATTCAAAGAGTCGTTGGAATGCCTGCAAAAATGTCACACACATGCAAGCGCGCTGGAAGCAGCCTCGTGTAACAAACCGGTACGTCGAGGGACAGACAACAAAACGAGTTGAAGCAGATGATCTCTGGAGCGAGCTCTAAGAGCAACGGGAATCTCTTCAGAGGACCGTCCCCTCTGTCAGACTCTGTCATAGCACAAAGAAGCCGTATTTCCTCGCAACTTTAAGCGCTGGGGAAAGGAAATGCCTATACAAATAGGGGGGGGGGGCTCCTATCCTAATACATGGTCATAACTTATACCGGAGCGGAGTTTCTTTTCTGGTGCCGGGGCGGGGTGTCTGCTTGCAGCTGCCTGTCCAAGCATTGACCTGAGAAAGTGAGGATTGCGCTCACAAGGCAAATCGTTCAGCATTTGGGACGACAAGTTTGTGTCAGCTTTGGTCTGAAGGCTGGGGATTGCTGTGATCCGACAGCGGATTTCCACGTGGGTGGAGTTCCTCTTACCTGGCAGTGCGCGCCAGACTGTTCGAAGGACTCACCTACCACTTGGCCACTGAGCGGTCTTGAATATGAATCGCAATCGTTGTGCAGCTGAAGTAGCGTCTCAATTAATCAACTGGGAGCTCATGGCTGCAAACTTCGAAACTGTAAACACAAAGGTCGGTTTTCTGTGTAAGCCGCGCTACTAAGCTCTGTGCCAGCCGGCTTCTCGATTCTGCAAGTTCATGATCAATTGCGGAGAGCCTTGAAGATTCATCTGGCAGCTCTTGCGAAGGGGTATGGCTTAGTGGCTCAGGGCACAGCCTAGGACCTAGGACACATGAGGAAGCAACTCCATGGCGAGGGAGCGTTCCCGTTCTCGTACGAGCGTGCGCTCGGTGTCTATCTCAGCACAGGTGCGTGTGATCGCGTCAAAACCGTAAAGTACCCAGGAGCCGGCCTCCTGGGCAAGGCTGGCCCGCTCTTGTTCCAACTCAGGCCTCTTTGATAGAACCTGCGTTCGCTCTGCGTCTGCCCGTAAACAAGGCCGCACGTGCTTGTGACATGACATGGTGCAGGTGCCTTGCCTTCCTCGCATGGTGCAATGGATTCTCTCGGAGCTTGTGCATTCTTGTGCAATGTTGTGGATGCGAACATGGGCTTTGGCACTCTGCGGCCCCCGTTCGCATAGAAATCTTGGCAAACATCTGCGTGCATGAGGCTTGCTTGCAGCGCAGACCAACTTTTCTATGACCGACCAAGAAAGTTTACACAGCAAATGGTGATGCACAGGAAGAGCGCCACGCCTCTCTGAGCTCGGTGACTCGGGTCGTCAGCTCTGCAAGCTTCAATCGAGCATGATGACTGTCCTGCATTCCCACATCCGACTCTAATCGCCACACTTGCACTGCTGCGTGAGATTCAAGAAGTCCAAGAAGTCCGACCCTGTTGTGCTGACCACCACGCTTTGTTGAGTGACACGGCGAAGGCATCCTCAGACACCAGTTCCCAAACCTGCCCCAAGTTGCCAATATGTGAAAGTCATGGAGGCGCGCCTCTGTACATCCTCATCATGGACCTGTGCTGCCACTGAATAACGCTCGACATCTGCATTGCATCGGGTGTGAAACGTCCGCCTCGACGAGTGGCCACTGAACTGCTGCAACCTCATCTTGAGACGGCATCAATCCTCAGCTGCTTTTGCTAAGGCTTCACCGGGAACTTGAAAGTGCGCAGAACATGGCCTCGACCTCGACACCAAGTTCAGGATTCAGGATAGCAAAATCTAAACTGTGCTTCGCCACAACAAGGAAACTCATCACTTGGAGAAGGCCAAAACGAGGTTTCCGTTTCCGAAATCAGCACGTCTGCTTTGAATTCCTCCTCAGCTCCTGCATCTCTCTTGCTTCCGGATTCCTGTCGCCGGGAATGAGTCATAATTGCTGTTGTTCAGCTTGTAGCAACACGCGCCGCCCCTACCCACTAACTACGTACTGCGTGCAGACGCGGAGTGGCCATGAAGATCCACGCATGGGGCACAACATCAGGAAACTTTAAGCTCAGCAGAATCGCCATGCCCGCGCAGGCAAAGAAGAGAAACACCTTCATGAAGGAGCCGGATCAGTACATTCTGAGGCCTGCAGTCGCTCTCGTCACCTGAAATAGCACCATTCTCATCTGAGGCACATCAGCTTCGGAAGCATTTTGTGCTGTGTTGCTTTGAACAAGCGCTTTCCCTGCAAGAAAAGGATGTGATGTGGCTGGGCCAGACAGCGTGGATCATGTAAGCATGTTACATCATGTTACTATCGGATTATGGCATCCTAGCGTTGTGCTAACATGGAGATTGTCGTCTGGACAAAAATTTCATCCGTTTCATGATGCAGATCACCGGTGGCGAGACATGATGGATGAACCCGTTTCTGGGTTCGAAGCGTCGGCTCATCCCCTTTGCTTCTTTGAGGAAACGCAATGCATCGCAATGCCATACTGAGATGTTCACCCTGCTGCATCTTCTCGTGCCCTGAAGTCAATCACTTGCAATTGCAGGTGTGTTAAAAAATACCGGTCCAGGAGTCTACCATAGTCTATAACTATGTCAAAAATAATCTGCTAAACAGATTATGTTTTCATTCTCGTCGTTGTTGGAAACCAAATGCAATGCAATGCAATGTTGTAGGGCCGTCAGCACGAGCACAAGCACATGGCTGCACTAAGCCACTTGGGGCGTCGCTGAAGGCTGTCAAAGGCCCGCCGCTACAATGTCTGCCGGCCTGGCATGAAAGCTGCGAAGCCAATGCTGGTGACATTGCCATTCTCACCACCACCATCATCACCGCCGCCACCACATCACCACCATCAGCAACACCACCATACTTACCAGCACAACCACCACCAGCAACACCATCATCGTCATCGTCATCCCCACCATGGTCATCATCACAAAGCCATCTTTGCTTTGGATAGCCTGAGTAGTTCAGACGGCCTCCCAACAGACCTCCTTCAAGGATGGCCATGGGGCCCTGCTGACAAGTTGGCTGTGTTGATACAACTTCATACATCTCCAGCTGCAGGGTATTGCTGTGTTGCTTCTCGTGCTGTAAAAGTTTGAGTTGACCTGAGCCCGCGGCAATGCTAGCTCGAAGAATCCGTCACAGTTCAATGGCGGACTTTCCAGCGGTAATCACTTCGCTCTGTTTGCTCTGTTTCTCCTTTTGGCCAACAACAATGCGTAGCTGTACACCTGGGCTTGGCGGTCACCTGCATCTACAGGCCGCCAAATAATTCTGGCCAAAAGCAAGCACTAGGCGAGGATGGCTCAACTGGACAGCTCTATCCACGTACGAAGCGTACGTCATGTGAATCGCGCAAGCCGTGCAGCTCGAAGCGCCTCTGCATCAGGTCTTTGTTGCGGAGCCTGACAAGAAAGACATGGGCTGCGGTGACCATGGCGACTGGTGTTTTGGGAAGGGTGGAAGGGGAGTGTCTCCCGGGACGGCCGTGTCAGCGAAAGAGCTGAGAAGAGAAAAGACAAGGTAGCAAGAGGTAATGGATGGTACAGTGTAGGATGGTAGAGGTAATATGTTCATTCCTCAATTGAGTATTGATAAAATAACAAAGTTTACGTATGTGAGGCTCTTTCTGCCGAGGTTTGAAAGATTTTCTTGGAGAATGAAGATCAAATTGTCAAGATACAGTTTCTCCTACAGCTCGGTAATGGCCACTTGCAGTTTCGCCCGTTGAGGTGGCTTCCCCCCTTCAGTTTTCTGCACCATCTCTTCCCAAACTCGATTTTCGTGTCCGGGTTGCTTCCACGCTTCCACAGCAACCGAATCCACTCAGCATCCGCAGAATAGATGCTTGCCAGGCCCTTGCCTCAAGTCTTTGCCAAGCCCTGTTCTCGCGAAATCTGGGCTGGCTCAAAGGCCCTGTGAAAACCTTTGACATGCTGCGATGCTCTCTAAACAACTAGTGGCAACAAACTAAACAGCTTCCGGAATGTGCCGAGCGTGGAAGGCCACACACAGGATTCGGAAACTCAGCAGACTGGCCTTGCTCTGGCACACTTGAGAAATATCACAAAACATAACTGATACGGTATCACCTGATCTCACCTGAGTTGTTGGGTGGTCCTGGAAAGAAAGGCAGAAATTGAGCCGGCGCAGGCTCTGCTCAGCAGCACTGATATAAACCGGTTCAAAGAGACATCAAGACATCCTGGCAACATGGACCGTGTCCTGCGAAGCTGCCTTGCGGCACTTGCACGTCCCAACTTGTGAACTATAGCAGCGCAATGTAGGTTGCGGGGGTGGTTCATTGTGTGAGCGAACGTAAATCCCACTCGAAGTTTGCCCGGAAAAAGCAGGTAGACAAATCACAGGCCTGGCTCCTCAGGAAAACGGCGAATGACTGCAGCCCTTCCTCCAAGTAGTCTTGAGTGAGTACCCATTGACAGTACCTAGGTGGTAACACGACAGCCAGCAGGCAACAGAACTGATGAGGACATCAAGGACATGACATGAACGGAGCTGCCACAATCGTACAACTATAATCAAGTTGCGCGCAGAAAAAACGAAAAACACATGGCAGAGCATCGTTTAAGCTAGTTTGGACCCTGCACTTCTGGTTTTTTGCTGCCACAGCAGCTCTGGATCGCTTTGCAGCACAGTCTGAAAAGATTCGCCGGCATGTGGCCCAATGGGGAGCATCTCAAAGTCGTTCGCGGATCCTGGTATAGAATGACAAGGAATGGTCACACTATATGATCACACTTTAAGGAGCTCAAGCAGATTGGGTCTGCACAAGCCCCTGCAGACTATGGATGTCTGTGGTCCATGGTGTGTGAAAATCGTATCGGGTCCAAATAAGGTGTGGTATCACCATCACCCAATACAACCTAAATTTGTTTGCATCGGTCCACATACTAGCTGACAATCTGGCCCGGGTCTCGTACACGTTCCGTGCTTGAAACTGCGCTCTGACCTAGGTTTTGAGCTTCTGGTTTAAGTTTCGGTCTTGCAAAGACAAGCCTTTTTGCATCTCTGGCCCGTACGTTCCTGCCTGTTCGCAGTTTGCCGGCTGACAGGCCTCAAGAATTGCGTGCGACGGTGCCGAGTTTCCGATTGGATACAGCGGTCTTGCTTGTGAAGCGAAGGGGGCATGTAACGGTCATTGCTTGGTTGAAGCCAAAAAGCCAACAATGCCAGCTAGCCGGCCGAGTAGGCTAGAAGCCTAAGCCAAGGGAAGGCAAACAAAACTGCGCTGAACGGATAAGACCTATAGGATCTAAACAGCCACACTTGCCGTTGATTTTTTCATCTTTCTTACGGCTGATCATGGTCCCTTTTCATTTCTTTCATCTATTGAATCCCCGCCGAAAGCGCCAAGACTTTTGTGTAGACCCCCTACAACGTCGGCTTTGGTCCTCCTATGGAAATGTCCTCCTACAAACCTCCGGAAAGGACTCATTGTATGTTCCTTCATGACCCTTTTTTTGGTCCTTGGCCCGGGCCTCTTGACGTGCTCGACACCGGTCGCGAGAAGCGTATGTTCCAAAAACGCCAGTTGCAAACAAACAAACTGTAGTTCCCCGAGCTGGCCTTCGCAACTGACGGATACTGACGGACAATTGGCCGACACTACTTAGCCGGCGATTTCTTGGTCACCCCGAGTCTGGACAAGAAGGCCAATCCAACAAAAAACGTCACATCCGTTGCTGGATATGCCTCTGGCACGATGGTCGGAAGAAACCTCTATTCACCTTCTGTGGGTTCTCTGGATTCGATCGACTCATTAGAACCCCTCAAGACCGTCTTCGGCCTATGCACTTTGCCACATTTAATTTATGGAGCCCATGGCCTCTCCTGTGGAGGCCCTTCTATAGACCTCGTCCTATGGACCTCGTATGACCTCTACGACTCTACGGACCTGCAATGTCCCCTTATGGGACTCTGAGGACTTTTCTGGTCGCTCTGTAGATCTCTGCAGACCGCCCATGCACACCCCCTGGACCCAGATGGAACCCCAAGGCGAAAGCCAAGGCTTATGAAACATGACACAGAAGCAACACGAAGCGAAAAGCCAAAGACAAAACAAAGCAAAACATAGAAAGCCAACGTGAAACGGCGAAAGGCAGAAAGCGAACAGCGCGAAAAAAGATAGCCACACAAAGCGAAAGAAAGCATTAAAGAACGGAACAATCATGCAAACACACACCAAAAAGATGAAAACAACGCAGGGAGCACGACGCAGACGGCAAAAAGTAAAAAAACAAACAAGCATGAAACAAACACAAGGGCACAAGGCATACGTACAAGGAATAGAAGCAAAAGCCGAAAGACATGGCAAATCCGCACACGCACAAGCAAGAAACTGGTCAAAAGAACCCAGGAAGCCCCAAGAAGAAGGCCCCAAAGGCCCCCCCAAAAAAAACACCCTGAGAAGGCCCCAACAAGGTGCCCCGAGGTTTCAGCCGCGACCCAGTCCAGCGCCTAACAGCATGAAGCAATCTCCCAATATCCGCAGCCAAGCTAGTAGGCAGCAGGCGAGACGCACATGTTCGAGTCACACAAGAATAGAGTAGCTAACTGCGTCGTTCAGTCCCTACATCTCCAGCCGTCTCCACCGTTCTGGTGTACATAGGTTAGAGACAGCCGCAACACGTGGAAACACAATCGGCGGTCCTGTGACATCTGTGACTCCTGAGCCCAGGATTTCTCCCGTGCCGGAGCACACAGAAGCAGCTGAACTGCTGGCTGCGTTTGAGCCTTGATAGGCAGCTCGACCACGTGCTCTACCAGGCCGAGACGTTGAGTGACTCGTGTCCAAACTGTGGATGTTCGTGCCGGCCAAAGTCCTCAGAACGTCTCAGTACAAGCTGCAAACTTGCATGAATGGCGGGCAATTAAGGGATCCCACACGGCGACGTCAACTTGCAACAGAGTGTCTGGATGGATGTGTGTTGCGTCGTGCCTCTGCCTCTGCCTCGTGAAACGCAGGAACCGCGGCCACGCCCTCGTCCACTAGTTGACATTGCAAATTGCAATTGCACAGCGTGTTGTTTCTTAAAGTCCGTCTGGGTAGTGTTTCCAGTGCAAATGTTGTCTGTCTGTGCTCTCTGCTAGTTAACGCGTCGGCTGCTCTCCGCTGAAATTGGAACACGAGAAAACCGCAACAACAGTGAGCTGAAACTGTGGGCACATGCACAAGTCGTTCGTCAAATGGCTGCAAGGTGCTGGAAGCATGGGTTGCAGAATGGATCTGTGCATGTTAACATAGGCTAACTAACGTGCGTTCAAACTCCACCGGTGTCAATGCTACCAGGTTCCCTTTCAGCGAGCACGCTCAGTGCTTTCCCTTTTCTACGCTGCGCTCCTCTACGTCAGGCTATCGGAAAAAGAAGGCCAAGCCCAAATCCTCACTACTCTGTCTTGATCTCTTGGCCAGCCATCTCAGCACCCTTGCCCGGTACCGATGATGCCAGTGGATGGAGAGCAATGTCCCACAATGCCACCGCAGCACACAGGATACTGGCCTGGAGAAACGTGCACGCAAGACGTATGGCGTTTATGCGGCAAGCAACTAGTCAAGTAGCTGCCGTTGTAAGCTGTCAATCTGGTGTCTCAACCGTGCTACGGGCTTGCATGCATTTGTCTAGTTACTGCTTTATTATCTTTCTATGCGTTGCCATGTCGCTGGCTGCCCGTGACTGTGTGTGGCCTCGACAAAGGCAGCACTTCCTACAAACCCCTATGCCTGCTCTCTCAATGTAGGCTGCCTCAATGTTCACCTCTGCTGTCCTCATTAGCATCCAGCTTAGGCTTCCTTCCGGCCTGCTGAAGTCACAATAAGTCACATACCTTCATTACATTCACATACTTCATCATACTTCACATGTCACGTACTTCAAACTGCTACTGCGAAGATATCGAGCAATCATTGGGCATGCGAGTTGCAACCCACGCAAGTTGTCGCAGAAGCTGCCGCTGCCCATGAGGGAACCGCTTATGCGAGTCACTTCGTATGACAAAGATTGGCTCAAGCCAATCTAAGTAGATTTCCCGCACGGGGCTGTGCTGTGCCTGGGCGGGTCAAGACATGTCAAGACTCATTTCACTCCAGCGGCATCCACGGCACCATGCTGCACGAGACAGGAGAATTTCGCTGGCTCAGTCTGCAGCTGCGGAGCAGCTACAGCGCAAGCGATGACAGCCACGACGGCAATTCGCAAAAGCCAGGTGTTGAGGTGAGGATAGGATAATACAATGCAAAGTGCCGTCATCGCATCAAGGAGCAAGCATACCTCGGATCTCAAGAACCGAGCTCACGCCGAGCTTCACCTGCTTTCGTTGCTTACTTCCACAAACCGCCTTTCCAACAAAGCAGGACTTCGCTGAAGCATATTGCTTGCGTTCATGCTGCAAGAGTCTCGGCTTTCTCGGGTGGCAGCGGCACATTGGCAGCTTTCGAAGGAGAACGACCGCAAGCGACCACGGCAGCCACAAATGCCATGGATGCCATTGTGTACACAATGTTCTGCCACCAATATGCATGACCCGGTGCCTTGGAACAGCATCAATCGGTTTGCCACTTCCAGTCTGAGCATGAGCAAAGATCCCGATCGACGCATCAAATTTTAAGGAACCCCCGCTATGCTGCGACCGTGCTTTAAAAAAGTTTCCCGATGCTTACAGCAGCTAACTCTACAAGCATGAAACGCTTGCCTACTTTATGGGCGGAATTCAAGCGAGCAGCATCTGCTAAGGACAGGATCACGCAAAGCTGAGGTCCAGCAGCAGCCGCTTCTGCTGCCGCTGCTTCAAAACTGTCGGCCGGCAATATCTCTGACAAAGCACGATCCTCATGGGCTCATGATGGCTCATCGGTGGCGGCCATCTCTTGCGACGTTATTCCGACAGGAACTGAAGCTGAGTGCCGGACGACTGACTCGCTTAAGCGCCTGCCTGCTAAAACCATATGTGGCACAGCAAATCCGATCGCAACAATAGCCAGGCAGGACTCGCAGACGGTAATACCTTGCCAAGCGAGGCACAGCGGAGGCACAATCGCGGCCGCAGCACTGGTGCAACGCAAAAGCTTGGCCCAAACGCAGCAAGGCTGCCGCCTTTCATAGCAGCCATAGTTGCACACAGGAATATGATGCCTTGTGGTTGTGTCAGGATTAGTGCCAGGACGTGTTCTTCTAATCAGCACTCCAGCAAGGAACACGTGCCTCTTTGGTCAACTGCATCACATGTGCTCGCCGAGATGCTGACAAACAAGCCCACGCAGCTGACTGAGTGGGCATGCCCAAGTGCGCTGTGCAGGAATGGTGATCGGATGAAACGAAGGAGCCTCGTGCTGTCAGGAGAAGCGCATGTTCTTGCGACTGCTAAATTTGCCGAATCATCCTAATCAGCACTTCAAGAAGGAACGCCTTCTTGATCAACACCCGCAACACATGTGCTCAGCCGAGGAACGGCCCCCATTTTAGGTCGTCCATTCCTGTTTGCATCGGCAGCCAGCAGCAAAACTCAAGCAACTCACCCAGCAGATGGAGCAGTCAGCAGTCCTAAAGGAAGTCCATCGGCATCTTCATCCAGCATGCGCACAGCCGCTGTAGTAAAGCCGGCAATGAGCCACACCCAGAGAGAGCTAACAGCGAGAGTTTCTGTCAATGCCACAGATTGGGGAAGCTGTTCTGCGCTGCCCTGGTGATACCCAGAATGACCTTACTTGAATGCGCACATGGTTACCTCGCTACCGTTTGTCAGTCTTTTATCATCTTGTAGCATGAGCCATCACGCTACAATTCCTTGGTTGACTCCCCAACTGGAAGAACATAGAAGCCGAGAAAGCTAAGCGCTTGACGCATGGCTCGCGTGTGTACTGCCACAAAGAGGGAATAAACCACTGCCCAGCAGTGCACAGCGCCGGCAGCAACCAGAACCAAAGAGCTGTTCAAAAAGGCTCTCTTGGATCTTTCCACGAACTGAATCCATCCGAGCCAACCTCGAACAGCCAAGTACACCAGCGGCTGCATCTGCCTCGGTCTGCACATGTCAGGCCAAACTGTTTGACGGCTGAACACGCTGATTTGTGCAAAGCGGCGAGAGCTGCTCAGCTCTCTTGCCGAAGGCTCTGACAAGCCAGTGCTAACTTGCGACAGGCTTGAGCCCGCACAGTCGCACAGCGGATGACACGCGACAAGCGATGGCAAGGTAATGCAAGTGGCACGGTGTCGCAGGATCTTGAGACCTCACCATGGTCACAACATGTCACAACGTAACCTCTTATCTGAACATCATGCACCCCAGAAATTCTCGGCATGCTCAGCAACCGCGAGCTTTTGAGAAGTACAAGATCGACAGGAGAGCTTCAGCCGATCCTCAACAGTTTTCACTCTCAACTGCATGGTCTTTATTCACACTTTTGCCGCTATGGCAGAGGCAAAGAAGGCTGCCGCATCGTCCATCTCTTGCTGCGTATTGCCATGGTCGACTTCATATTTCCTCGCAATCACAGCATGCAAGATTCATGAGGCAAAGCAGTCACATTGCAAAACGAAGCAGCAAAAACTGAGCAAAAACAGACAAGCTTAGCTTGATGAAACGTACCTGAGCCGCTTCGCAACCGCTGCTATGCCTGCACGTTTCAGGATGTCCACCCCAAAGTCTTGAAGACTCGGGTGGAGTATTGTGTCCTTGCTTCCGTGGCCCCAGAAGACTTTCAGGTCATGGCATTGTGGAGAAGCAGCCAACTTCGCCACATGCTCGCCAAAGAAGCATATGCCGCTGAAGACCTTGTTCTCTCTCTCTCTCTCTCTCTCTCTCTCTCTATCTCTCTCCATACTCTCCATAGTGACACAATAACAACTGTGATAACTCTACAAGTATCGCAGCAGGCATTGGCAGGGTTTCGGCCATATGGGACTTCGCTCAAAACCATGATCCGGAGCTCCAATAGCAGCCCCATGCAGCACTTGGTGATACTTAGTGCCATCGTGCTGGCAAGACACAATGACACCGGCCAAGCGCTGCGGATAAGTGAGTGTTGACAGCATCGCCTTGATGCAACATGCCTCTGCTTTACACGACAAAGAACAAGTTGGTTGAGCATATCCATCTACAATCCGAGATGCCATGGCCCCTCCCTGCGAAAAGCCACCCACCATGATCCGTTCTGCGGGAATGCCTTCGCTGACGAGCATGTCAATGGCTGCATGGACACGGCCGCATGAAGCAATGGCTTCCTCCAGCGAGCAGCCATAGTTGTCCGCATCCGTAGCAGAAAGGGGCAATTTGAGAAAATCGAACCAGCTTGGCATTGTAGCACCGCCATTGCATGTAACTCGGCGTCGGGGAGCGCGCGGCAACATGAATCGGCATGAGCCCGAAGTGCCCGAAGCATCCAAAGCCTTCAAGCCTTTCAGGTCGAAGCTTTCTTCTAACGCATCGGCCCAGCCAGACTCATCATCCCCGAGGCCATGCATCCAAACCAACCCACAAGTGGGCTTCCCTTTCGGCAGCACAAAGGATGTGTAGCAATCCTCCGTATTCCGTATCCAAGCTGCAAACACAAAGAAAGCAAAATAAGAACTGCATTCTCGCAATTTCTCGCCCCCTCATTCAATTGACTTGTTACGAAGGGGCGAAAGCAAAGAACGAATGTGACACAAGTTTTCGAATCCCTGAACCTCAGAATGCATTCCAAAGTTCCTTTGGCAAGGTTAGTGGTTCATGCTTGGAGCCAATAGCTTGTGCCAGCGATGTTGCTGGCAAGGGTGGCGACTCATCCATGGCTCACTTTGGTGGCAAGGTCGAGGCTTGCTTTGGCTCATCAAACGGCCTTCAACTGCATAAGCACTTCAGGCTGTGTAGCATCTGTTGGCGCTGTGCTTAGGCAATTTTCACTCACGCGGCAACATGTCGCCAGCAAGAAGCCTTTTCAAGCACCATTGCTTCACAATGGTTGGCTCTATCTGGCTCTTGCCAGAGCAGTGAAACAGGGCTGGGAGTTGGCTGATTGTTGGCTTCTTGGAAGCCTGAACTATCTGTCTTTTTGCTAGCACAAGGGGCGCCACTTGCGCATGGGTATGTCGGGGGGGCTACGTTGCTTCACTTTGATTGTGGGCAGGCTCTGGCTCGACCTGTACAGTCTGTGCTTGTCTGCAGCATCGGAAGAAACCTTCTTGAAGGACTGTGAATAAATTCCTGCAGCGCACGCGCCGCTGCCGGATGGTTTCTGTATGCCTCTGCTGGAAACCACCTGCGGCAATTTTGTTGGACATTCAAGGGCAGATGGTCCGGGCCTTGCAGGTAGACTTGGACGGCCGTTTATCTCGTTCTTCTCTGCGTGTTTCTTGTCGACCAATACCTGGGCATGCCGTGGATCCTGCGAGCTGGCCTGATTTGCTAACTTTGCTGGCTGCCTTGTCGACGGTTTTGGCCCAGGCCTCTGTTGGACATCCGGCTGCCGAATGTTCTTCGCGGAATGCGAAAGCAATTTTGACAATGAGGTGCTGAGTGCGTCAGCATTGTCAGCCCCGCTTTCGTCATGTCCTGGTGCTGCGTTTGCTGCGTTTGACCTTGACGACCTCTCTGCAAGTCTTTTGTGTCTTTCGTTCAGCTGAGGATGCTGAGGGTCCCTCCACAGCGGCAGCACGCCGTCGGCATACAAGCACCTTTCGATACCAGCCGTGCCCTGCCCCTTGCCAACCTGGTCTAAGTGCCGTATGAGCACATCAGCCCTGTGAGAAGCATCCTCTTCCCAGGGCCGTAATCTCTTCAACACAGCTGGTTGGGCCGCCTGCTTGCGCGGGTCTTGTGCGCATGGCACTGGCGCATGTGCCGCATCACTGCATTCGGGCGTGATGTTTGCACAGCTCCTTGGCTGTGTGACTGGAGCACATTGGGGAAGGATGGCTGGGCTGGAAACATCCTCAGGACTCTCAGGCTCCCTGCCCTCCACATCTTGCACAATCTCGGCCTCCATGTCTAAAATGCCAGGTAGCACCAATGCCGGCACTGCCGCATGTGACTCTGCGTTTGAGAAGCAAGCTGGTCGCATTTCAGGCGACTCTGCAGCCCCGGACTCCAAGTCTAGGCCTGTATGGCCCGTGCTGCGGAGCTCTTCTTGCAAGCGCCCGTTTAGAACAGCCTGTCCCAGAATATTCCGCAAGTGCGCACGCACAGCTGCGTGGCTGGAATGATCTGGAACCGGCTGTTGCGATGGACCACTGAGATGCGAAGGCGAATGTGAACTGGCGCTGATCGGCCGAAAGCCCTTTGAACTGACGTTTGGACTGTGAAATGTTCCGCCTGTTGCGATTCCAGCACTACCAGCGCTGGCAGACTTTGAAAATTGAAGGCTGCTGTTGGAACACTGCAAGCTGCCGAAAATGGATGGTGCCTGCTCTGCTTGCAGTCTGCCTGCCGCAATGGAATGGATTTTTGCTGCCACATTGTATGCCCAGTCCAATGGCCTCAGAGACAAATTACGAAACCCAACAGGGGTGCTCGGCCGCTGAGTGCTTTGAGTGCCCAAGCCTCGCGCAACATCCACCAAGCGTCTGACGACATTGTTGCGAAAGGCATCGAGTGGGCATTCTTGGCACGAGCACTCGCGCAACAGCGTCCCGTGCATCAGACATGACGAAGCCGTCGTGAATGCCTGTCGGATTGCACGTGTTATGTCTACAGGTGCTTGTGTCTGAGTCCAATCATCCCGACATTGCAGGGATGATATTTGGAGGCCGATGTCGAAATACAGGCCCGCAATCTCGGCCGGAGATAGGCTCCGCGAGTCGCAGCTTGCACCCCAATCTGGCTGCAGGCTCTGTGCTTTCATGACTGAAATGAGCTGCACAAGTGCATCGGTGTGAACCGCATCCAGAGAAGAGATCGGCAAGGCTCCCTCTAAAGTTTTGATGATGTCCTCACAGAAACCATCCATAGACACCAATGGGCACTCAAGCAGGTGGGGCTTGTGACGATGACATTGGCGTGGCGGTGCGCTGTGTGCCCTGCATTTCCTCCTGGCACAAGCTTGTGCACTGCAACTTTTAACAAGCACAACAGCAACCAACCTGTTGCTTCGTCCTGGCCGTGCTGGCACAGATTTCCATAGATGGCCTGCCAAACTTGCGATGCTCCACACCCCACACCAGGCTGCATCTGATGAGTTGTTTCACACCGAACTTGTGAGTACATTGTAAAATGTCTTGTGCTAGATCACTCGGCAATGGAAGCAAGTGGTACTTCCTCGGCCTGTACATCCAAGACCACGTCCGTGACACCAATGGCACTTCCGCATGGACCTGATAGTGACTGCTACTGACTAGGAAGTCAAGAGCGGGGATTCATCTTTGCAATAAGAAACTTTAGCACTCGCATTCATTCCGAAACAAAGCGTTGGTGGGTCCGACCCGGGTTCGTGCGTTTAGCTTTCGTCAGCATCATTCGACCAGACTCCTGACTGTCGTCACTTCTGGAGGTAATGTCAAGCTGTTCCCGAATGCGTGGCAGAAGGGCTTCCATTTAAAGAGTTGGGATCGGAGAGGTGAACAGGTCCTCATTTTAAGGGAACCCTACAATTTGTCCCCAATCTCGTAAACCTCCATTTGAGAATTGTAGAAATGCATTCAAACAAGAGCAGTTCATCGCAGACAGAATGAACTTTGCACCGGTGTGCCATCGTGCCGCACTGGGTGCAGATTCCGAAACCTTAAACGGCCCTCGGTTCCCCTACGACCCGCCTATGCTTAACACCCCCTCTAGGTTCCCCCCATAATAGCTATTTAGGGGTAGTTTAGCCTAATTAAGGTTATTAGGGGGGGGAACCTAGGGGGGTAGAAGAGAGGAGGGTAGTAGGGCAACCCATGATAAAGGCCCCAAACCCAAACCCTTTTGCATCTGGGCTCGCAGCGGTAGCCTAAACCCAAACCCCTAAACTCACAAGTTCGCGAGTGTCGTGCGGGAGCTGTCGCTACAGCATGCATGTTAAAGGCCGCGCCTCGGGATCCTGAATCTTCAACAGAGCCAAGACAGATGGGGCCCCTGGAGCTCGAGATCCTCGTAACTGTCGTCGCTTTTGGCCCGCATCTTCGTCACATCTAGTAGTAGTGGTAGTGGCAGTGGTCGTGGTCGCGGCAGTGCCAGTGCCACGAGTCTTCCCGAAATTAGGTGCATCCAGGTTTGTTTCTCGGCTTAGCTGGGCATCTGACTCAGATGCTGTGGCATTACTGCAGAGTTTGACGCTGCGTGTCCACATGCACATTGTCACATGCGACCCTGCTGATTTGAACTTTTGGGGCGCGGGTCGTTTGCCGCATGAAACGCCGCAGCCTGCAGTTGCTCCAATGGCTCCAATGGAGTGCCATCGCCAAATCCTGCCCGCGTGTGAATTCGACTCAAAAGCATATCCCGTGCATAGTACAAATCTGTCTGGAAATCGAGAGGCGGCTGTCAGAATGAACATGTGCGCATAAACACGTGCATAAGCTTTTGCACTCTCGCATATTCATGAGGAGCCCAACCAAATTTTCTTACAAGGGCCTAGGAACCCTAGACCGTTTTCTGGTCGAAGAGCTGTATTCATGGTGGTGGATTTTGCTCATTTTGGGCTGCTGTTGTGAACCCTCAACGTATCTGGAACACGTATAGTATTTAGTTCGTTGGCAGCCTTATATATTCGGTTTTGTGGCGAAGCATGTCGGTTTTCACACCGGCCTTGACATTCGCATCCTGCCCCGCGGAATCGTGGAGTCAGGCCGTGGACTGTCAAACAACTCCGCGGCTCAGGGCCTTAGAGTCTTAGAGACCGTGGGAAACCCGGGGGAAATCGGGCCTCGAAGCCAACACATCGGGGAAAGCAAATGTACCCCCCCCCCCCCCCTATTACTTGTAATTTAGAAGTGCGACCACGACACTGACAATGTCAAGCGACAACGTGAGCAGAAGCGGATGGCCTGCCCAGCACCCACTTCAGTCGCAGACTAGCTGCCTAGCTATGTAGCATTTCTGACAGCTGTTGCCCACCTGGTGGGCCGATGGGCAAGCCACTGAAAACTTGCTCGCCTTTGTCATACGCCATGGCATTGCGGGTTTAGCCATGACTTTGCTAGCCGTCCTCACCCACATTCCGAAGCTACTTCTAGCAGCTCCTGCCCATGCACGAGTCCGCGAAAATGAGGAATGCCATAAGCAAGCACCTTGCCACGTTCTTTTGCTTGGCCCACGAAGCATGCACCGTGCTCATGCGGGCACGTCTCGCTACTTCTTTGTTCTTTCGTGACTGATGCCATCCAACGAAGTCTCGCCGTGGCGAGTTTTGCGTGCCCAAGCGACTCCTCAAGTTTTCGTCCAATCCGCCCAATGTACAAAGCTATAAAGGTGATGCTTTTAAGTCAGGACCCGGAGAATCATTAATCAACAAACAAGGTTCCAAGCAGATTCCTACAAGCCGCGATTGCTACGCATGATACGTTCGCGTGATACTTTAGTGCCATTTGTGCGACCGTCAAAACTCTAGAGTTGTGACGCGGCTTGTTAGTTACTTCTATGAAATCTTGGAAATGATTTATTTCCGAAAACAATGCGAATAAAATGTAATCCAAGAAGCGAAAAAAAGCCAACTACTCAAAATATGCAAAAACAATGACAAAAAATACCTTTAAAAAGCAAAAAAATGACTCTAAAAAAGCAAGAAAAATGTGTGCTTTTGTTTTACTTTTTTTCTCGTTGTTTGTGGCTGCTGGGGTCGCTTGTCGGGTCGCTTTTTATTCGCTTTTTTTCTCGCTTTTTCCTAGGACAAAAGCGAAAATAAAGCGAAAATAAAGAGCGACGTTTTGCCTTTTTCGCGCTTTTTGGTCGCTTTTGGGGTCGCTTTTTTTCCGCTTTGTTTCGTTCTTTTTTTGCTTTTTTCCTAGGAACAAAGCAAAAAAAAAACGACTAAAAAGCGACCCAGAAGCGATAATGCGGCGAAAAAGCAAAACAAAGCGAAACAATTGTATCCCCTTTTCTGAACCCATTCTTTTCGCTTTTTCGGTGTCCTTTTTTTCGCATTTTATAAAAAATCGATTCGGTTTCTTTTCGGAAAATAAATCATGTAGCCAAAACCTTAGAAGTAGCTCTAAGCCGCATCACAACTCTAGAGGTCAAAGCCTAGGTCGCGCAATAGGGGCGTCGCTTCCCCGTCACTTTACAAGGGTCTTACATGGGTTTGTGCAACCTGTCGCGTTACAGGGGTGTGTCTTACGGGCTACTCAAACTGAGAGGGCTTTTCAGTGTTGCCCCTTCGCTTTACATGGTTTTTTGACACTCCAGCATGCAAATGTCCTACCAAGAAAAAACCGCAACTGCCGTAGTTTTGACCATTGCTCATTTGTTGCACGACCTTCCCCCTCCAACCCAATTCCACATGGCAGTGCGTCACAGTGTCCCACAAGTCATCCATTTTTCCAACTTGCAAACTGCTGTCAGCAACTGCGCAGTCGCAACATAACACATGCTGCATGCTGCAGGTCTGTTGACATTCGAGGGCATGCAAGTTGCAGCTGCATCAGGTGAAACAGTGCAGTAGCATCTGTACCTTGTCAGCATCCGAAAGCTCATGCAAACTAAACACTTAAACAAGTTGCAAAGCAACACCCGGCAAGAGGACAAAGCTTCATTAAGAGCGTCTTTGCGGATGCCATGATTCAAAAAAAATCTGTACCTTGCGCACCTTGCGCAGTGAGCATCTAGACCTAAAGCGGAAACCTGGCCCTGTCACCTCACTTTGCATGGACGGAAAACCTGAAAGCACAGGTTCCTGGCAAGTGGCTGCCTGGGCTGCCTATCCACCTGTGCTGAAAGGTAAGTGCACCGCACGATGCGCAACTGCTTTCAGCACGTTGCAACCAAAACGGGATCCTGGGATGTGGCCATCGGTACTCCAGCGGCCCATGAGTCCATGAAGTGCTCCATTGGTTTGAGGCCGGCACTCTTCAAGGAACAGGCTTATCGGCCTACGAGCTGTTGTGTCACTGTCACTGTCCCCAGGTGCAAGACATGGACAAGCACTTTGCACCTGAGCCTCCAGGTGCAATGGACTGCAACTCCCTGAGGAGGTGTGATGTGATTGGTCATCCACATCCTTGAGAACTGCAGCCGCTCGCAGTCTGAGTCTGGATGTCTGGGACAGTCTATAGAGCATTCCAGACCCACAAAAGTGAAGTTTTGTCCTGCAGTTTGTCTTTCCTCGTTTTCGCCTCGCGCTGGCAAGAGCTCGACCCTCAAATCAAAATGATGGGAAGGGAGGGTGGGGTGACTGGATTGTGAGCCTGGGGACGCACCCACACGGTGACGTGGCCATCCCCTGCCTGAAGAGCGGAGGTTCGTTCTTGAATTGCCCGTTCTCTCCCTCTCTCTCTCTCTCTGTCTCCCTCGCTTCTTTAGAGAGAGAGAGAGAGAGAGAGAGAGAGAGAGAGCGAGAGAGAGAGAGAGAGGGAGAGAGAGAGAAAGAGAGAGAGACAAAATAAAAAAGGCGAGCAGCCACCCAGTGCAGCTGTGCCGATGTGCTCCTGACTTTCAAAGTGCAACGATGCAAACTGGAACGAGTGACCTCGAGCGGTGTGATCAGTGGCAACACTGACGCGGACGCCCATCAGTCCAGGAAGAATCCAGAATAGAGTGCCCGCACTGCCATCCTCCACCCAGCCTCTCAGACAGCTCCATGGCAAAGCGTGCATTTTCGAACCTGTCCGCTCTTGATATGGTCTGCTCATGTCTGCCCTCACCACGCTTCTGTCCAGCAGTGTCATGTGCCCTAAGCCGCGCTCGGCCGGACGTGATGGCCGTGATCTGAATTCCTTTTACCCAACAATGGAGCCAACTCTTCGCGAAATCCAACTCTTTTTTCGCCAACCCCATCCATCGCGGACTTTCGTAGAGGCTTGTTTCGAATAAAGCCGCTTCCCGGACATTTCAAATCAGCCTCAAACCCTGAAACCTGATTGCCGAGACGTGGAGGGCAAATGAACACAACGATGGTCTTACTTTGGATCAGGGCTGGCTGACAGCAGACGAGACATTCGCGGAAGCTTCGCGGGACTTTCGTGAAAGTTTGGCTGCGGCTGCTCAGATCGCATGCTTCAAAATTCGAGTGGTTCGAAGCTCGATCACAGGGAGGCATGCAATCTGGCTGTGAGTACAACTACGGACTTCGAACCTGCACGCCGTTGTAAGCCTGCAGAATGCTGTGAAGTGCAAGGCACTTCGTAACATACCTGGAACAAGGCACGGTTTCGTAATGGGTCGTAACGGGGGCGCAAAATCTAAATTAAACAGAATCCACGTACTTTCGCGAACACCATCGCAAGCTGGCGAGCTGGCGAATGTCCTTTTTACATTGACAACTAATACAGGACATTTGGATCGCAGCCCATCCGAAGCCGTCCATCAGCCCAAAAAAGAAGACCGAGGCAAGTAGGAGGCACCTCGGGGGCGGCGCGATTTGTCACGCCGGATGCCAAAACAAATGCTCGTATTTCAGACCTCCTACGACTTTCGACTTTCGAACCGCGCAAACCAGAACTTCTAGACGGGAGTGATCGGGGGTTCCGAAGTCTATAGGCAAGCTTGTGCAGGAGCCTCTGTTGTCTTGCACATCAATTTTATGCATCCCAAGCGCTACGGCTCCGCATGGCTCCGCCTTTCGGGAAACGTTTGCTAGTTTTGGAGGTGCTCCAAACGCGGCTGCACCACCTCCCTGGATGCTTGTCTAAGTACGTCTCACCAAGCTAGACATTCGAGAGCTGCACTATGTCAATCTCAGAAATGATTGCCACGGAGACTCAGGACATGCTACTTCAGCGGGGCCAAATAGCTGTCCAGGAGTATTGGGGGCTGGGGAAGTGCATCTAGATCGACGAAACTGCCCTGCGACGAAGCCGATTTGGCAATGGCATAACAAAAAATAACAAAAGACATCAAAAGACTAAAATAAAGATCACGCCCTCATCCCTTCTCCAGGCGTGAATGCTCACGATCTTTGGCTATTCCGCCCTGGACTCCTCAGCCGACCCTTAAACAATGGACACATGCAACCACAGCGCGAACAGCGCAAGTCACGATGCCTGATTGGCTTCAGTGCCAAATGCTTGTCCGGGCTCATCTTCTTTTTCATTTTCGCTAGCCTTAGCCAATTTGCACCCAAGCCAGCTGACAACATTGACCATTTGAAGAATGAAAAGGACCCCGGCAGCCTAACATCGAAGGCATCCGTGGAAAGGACATGGATGGAGTGGCCCTTCCAGAACAACAGCAAATACTGAAAAATGCTTGCGGAGTGCAGCCATGCCTGCGAATCAACCCAGCGTCCAAGAAGCACTTCGGCTGACAAGAAGTCATCTGTGGGAGATGCTTCCCAAGGGAGCCTGCAACAAAACATGAACACAGCGCATGCTCACAAACATGACCGAACCAAGCCTTTCTTCTGCAAGCACCTCGGCAGCAATTGCGAGTCAACGTGCTGGCACTCCAACTGCATGTCGCTGATGTCTCAGCGGCTTGCCCACTGCCACTGTCTTCCACCGAGCTTGCTAGCAGAGACGTCCTACACGCCCCAGGAGTCACAGACAAACGCTACCAGTAGCACATGCTTGGTGGACCGTGGACCCAAGCACCGGGCGTAGCCACAAAGCGCAGGCGGATCGACGGAGAACCTTGTCGTGTGTGACAGTTGTGTGACTATGCAAGGTTTGGCTGCGGCTGCGATATCCCTCCACCTATTGTGGACAGCCCGAAATATCCCGCTGCCCTGGCTCAGGCGCCAACACGTCTGAGCTGACGGTCAGGTCCGATTCGAAGCCTCCAAATCGTTTTCGTGAAATGGATGAAGTAACTCGCACACGTGCATGTTGATACGAGACCCCTGGCGCATACAATGCCGAAGCAACTGTCCGCATCAACCAAACAGAAGATGCCTTCATCCATTCTCAGTGGGAGTGCAAATCTGCACCTCTGACTGTTTTCTGCAACTTGCCCCGTTTCTGGTTCCTTAGCAGAAAACGACATTGCCCCACTTGCCCCAATTGCCCTGTCTTAACCGCTAAGCGATTTCTGAGCCTTGCCCCGCTTGCCCCACTTGCCCACTTGGTTGGGTCAGAGCCTGCCCCCTTTGCCGCGAAAGGTGTGGGGCCCGTGCGGCCCTGGCCGTAGCCTCAAAGTCTGCCTCAAAAACAGACTGTTGAGGCAAACTTGTGGTGGATCAGAGCCTGCCCCCTTGCCGCGGGGCAAGGGGCAAATGGAAGTGAGGGTCGTAATGTTCTTGACAGTTAAAAGTACTCAGAAGGAGCAAAAGTGATAAGAGAACAATAAGAATAATCAACACATAAACAAACTGGCTTGAATATGGGGTTTTACGAAGATAGGGGAGCCCAAAATAGACCCCCAAGTAGTAAAATGCCCTTTGAATAAGGACCCCAATAAGGTACCCCTACTTTCGGAAATCCGCATATGAAGAAGCATATGAAGAAGCTGTATTGGGATGGGTTGTTAAAACCCTCTGAGAAGCATCCTAGATGTGATCCTCCTAAACCCAGTGGCGGAAAGATCAAAAACCCCAAAAAATCAGTTAGCTCTTCCGGGCCACAAGTGAGACAAGTGGGACAACATCAACTAGCTCTTCCGGAAACAGGCACGGGAGCAAGTGGGGCAACATTAGTAGTCGCCGCGGGCGCCCCTGATGCATTCTATGCCCAATCCAGGACACCACAGCCGGCTGCATAAAACGCAGTTTAGCAACTTTGCCATGTGCCCTTTCTTCGCCCCCATCCGTTGATTCAATCCCCCCCCGGGACCGGACCTCTATGGAGGGGGTACTGGGCGCCAAGCTTACGAAAGCCTTGGACAAAACACTGGACTTGGTAACTGCAACACACCAAATACCGACAACAACTCCCAGCAATCATTGGCTCCCGCATCCAAACATGAAGCGACTTGTCTCAGTCTAAAGTCTAAAAAACGTGCCTTCTGGATCCTACTGTCCTACTGCGCCAACAACGGCATGCTGCCCGGCCGTCGAGATCACTTTGAACTTCGGAACTGCAGGAGCCCTGGCACATCTGTAACAATGATTCTCAATGTGTGGAATTGCCGTGCAGCAGCAAGCACCTCCCGCCTCCGGGCATGGCGACAAAATGGCTTCCAAACCCTTCACCCTGCGACATGCACACCATGTGTGGTCGACACACATGCAGCACGAGCTGGCCTCGCGGATGAAATCGCCTCACTCCATGAAAATGCTTAGGAACAAGTCCCCCAATTGCGTTTGGGCTCCGACTCCCGTTCCCCAAGCAGCAGGGAGCTCTGATGCCAGGCCGGCCCACCACGCAGGGTCCTAACAGCACCAGAGAAGTGCATTAAGGCAGTGCATAAAGCATTGCTTAAAAGGCAGAGCCAAAAAACCCTTCACCAAATGCATTGCTCGCATTGTTGCGGCATCCTGCGGGGGCCACGGTAGAGGAGAAGGCCTGCAGTCATCTCATTGGGTCCAAAAAAAAAATGACAGGCCAGGTCACCATGAGCCGGGCAGTGGCGGTGGTCGTGTGGCGGTGGCGGCGGTGGCGGCGGTGGCGGCGGTGGCGGCGGTGGTGGCGGTGGTGGCGGTGGTGGCGGTGGTGGCGGTGGTGGCGGTGGTGGCGGTCGTAGTAGTAGTAGTAGTTGTGGTAGTAGTAGTAGTAGTAGTAGTAGTAGTAGTAGTAGTAGTAGTAGTAGGAGCAGCAGCAGCAGCAGCAGCAGTAGTAGTAGTAGTAGTAGAAAAAAACGCTCCTGCCAAGGCCGGCGGTGCTTGTTTTTGCTGAGCCCTGGCCGAGAGAGGCAGTCACGGCTGAGCAAAAAGTACTACGAAAAGTTGCACAGCCACGGCTAAGCCAAAAAAAGGTTTCCGCCCATTCAAAGCGCATCGCCAAGCGAACATCAGCCTCGCCGGCTGTGCCCCCACATGAACGCGAATCCAACAACACATGGAGGCCTCGGAAGTAAACCTTCAAGAGCCGTCACAGTGCGAAACTGACTGGCCCGCTACGGGGAGCTTACAATATGACATCATCAGCACATATCAGCACCACTGCGCAGACAATCACTGTGCAGGCCGTCACCCACGGCCAACCCAGGGGCCAACCCAGATGCTCTCAGTCCGAAAGGGATCATGGAATCAACAGCGCCAGGTACACAGAAAGCTGCCGGCCTTTGATGATTGTGCCGGATTGAGCAATGCCCCCAGATGCACCCGTCAAACCCACTTTTGCAATCCAAAGAGCCCTTCGGATGGATTTGATCTCTCATGTGGTACTAGGTCTTAAACCCTTCATCGACGCACGCGGACAGCATACCAAGAAAAACGGAACAACGAGCTCCAGATTTCATGTTCGAAACTATTCCGCAATCAACCCAAACGCCATTCGGAGAGCAAAACCGGAAACATCAGAAAGGGCTCCAGATATGAACCTAGCCTTCTGCCAAGTACAGGTAGACGCCCCGAAGCTTAAGTCTGCTCTGCTATGGGGGAAGCCGCACGCCAACCTTTCAAATTCTTGTTATATTCATGTCCTGTATTAATGATTGTTTTTCTATTTACACACGCCGTTATTACAATATTCTTATTGGCGCGTATATTGCGGAAATATTGTACGGGGTATGATATAAAGAGCCCATTTCACGCTATTAATAATTATAATGATAACAATAATAATCATAATAATGATAATAATAATTATGACTCTACTGCGAGCTTTCACTCTCCAGGAATGCCAGATCTTTATCCTGCCAGTTGCACTCAGTCGCGCGCAGCACGTTACGTGAAAGATGCCGCTTGTTGCAGCACTTGTGCTGGGACACATCAAAGCCTTGAGCTTTGTCCCCCAGGCATCTGCACGATGATGCGAAACAAAGTTAGAGCTCACCCGCCGGGTGGTGGTGGGGATCGCGGTGGACTACCCAAAAACTTGAGAGAATCAGAGACGGCATATGATGTCGACTCAAGCACGCCCAACGTGCCGTCAATTGGCTACAAGTAGCATACATGACTCTACTGCGAGCTTTCACTCTCCAGGAATGCCAGATCTTTATCCTGCCAGTTGCACTCAGTCGCGTGCAGCACGTTACGTGAAAGATGCCGCTTGTTGCAGCACTTGTGCTGGGACACATCAAAGCCTTGAGCTTTGTCCCCCAGGCATCTGCACGATGATGCGAAACAAAGTTAGAGCTCACCCCCCGGGTGGTGGTGGGGATCGCGGTGGACTACCCAAAAACTTGAGAGAATCAGAGACGGCATATGATGTCGACTCAAGCACGCCCAACGTGCCGTCAATTGGCTACAAGTAGCATACATGACTCTACTGCGAGCTTTCACTCTCCAGGAATGCCAGATCTTTATCCTGCCAGTTGCACTCAGTCGCGTGCAGCAAGTTACGTGAAAGATGCCGCTTGTTGCAGCACTTGTGCTGGGACACATCAAAGCCTTGAGCTTTGTCCCCCAGGCATCTGCACGATGATGCGAAACAAAGTTAGAGCTCACCCCTTAACCACACAGTTGTGCCCTTCCCAAGTCCGCAAACTCCTTGCACAGTCGCTGAGGATATGGCTGAGCCTGCAACGACATGAAAGCATTGTCGCAATTCACACCACGCTGGCGAATGTGCCTGTGTCCTGTAAAAGAACAGATCCCTGATCGTCCTTTGCACTGTCTGCCGAGCGCTTGTAGCTGTATAAAGTTGTACAATAGTGTGGTGCGCTTTTTCCACTTCTCACCAAAAGCGCAGTGGTCCAACGTGACAAAGCGGGGTTGTGCAAAATGACAGAATCGTTGTAGCGTCGGCATCTCCCATAGCATGCTAGAACAGGGATTCTCAACAACGTATGGGACTTGGGAGTCATGACAAATATAAAGAAGTCGAAGAAGAAAAGCCAAAACGTTATTTCCATCTTGAACTTTGGCCCTGTTCTTACGCGTCAGCCAAGGAATACCCCACAGAAAGCCATCCTTTCTCAACGGAGCAGGCCCAAGCCCGTCGTGCTTGCGAGCTCGAGAAAAAGTTGTACTTGGCATCCCGGCCCAGACCAGACTCACACGCCCTGACACAATCCACGAGAAGATGCGTCTCTCAATAGAAGGATCCAAAACATTGTGTGAGTCATACAAGCATATATCAACGGCGTAAGCAAGAAGTCCTACACCCCTCAAAGCAGCAGTAAGTCTGGCAGATCCGGCGAAGATCTCGAGAAAGAAGCGGCGCGGCTTGTTAGCACAAGAGAAAATATCGACCAAGGGTACTATCAGCCCTTTATCGATCTGGCCCGCACTGCACCTCGGAACACCCTCTCCAGGTTCTGCTCGCTCCACAGGCAGTGCCGCCTGCTGCTGTCCGACAACTGCGCCAGTAGTTGCTGCATACCGACGAACACTCTGATCGGCTCTCCACCGTCCCGGGACTTGACCCCATTGAAATCCCTGGCTAACGAACTGAGATCCTCAGTAGCCCCCCCGTG